GACATGCTGATGCTTCTTGCCCCTCAGAGGCATTTCCAAGCAGGCGTTGTGGGCAAATGTTCTTTTTCTTTGCTATTCTTGATGTCCTTTGAAAGAGTCATCCAAAGTCTTCAATCCAAGGCAAGCCACAGGTCAGAGTTGAGGAATGGTTTATAGCTGCAAATTTTTTTCCCTGTGAGTTTCAAATATAAAAAAAAAAAAAAAAGGCAAAAAAGCAAACTCAAGAAAATGCTCTTCTACCTTCCCACCCTTTTCTACAAATTCTTTTCTCATTTTCACAATGGTTTGATTTGATTTCCTTGAAATATTGCAACACACACACAAAATTACTCCCCAGCTGAGAACTTTTTATATCAAATTTCAGCCCTTCTGCTGTTGTATTTTTTTTTCAGGAAAAGTTACAAAACCCTGAATACAGGAGGGTTTATAATGAAAGTTCTGGCAGGACTTTAACTGTAGCATTTCCAGATGTGCTGTTGCAATTAGGGCTGGGCAAATTGAGTTGGATAAAATCAGAAGTGACCCAAAGTCTTTGTCAAAGCCTTGAACTGAACTTGAAAGCCTTTAGGGGCTTGAAACTGCTTGGTTGAGTTTTTATCTGTGGTTGGGGGGGGGGTTGATATGTCCCATCTTGACATGGAATTGAACGTGAAGAATGTTTTGCAGTGTGGCACAGCATTTCTACTTGAAGTCATAGGTAAAATAGGAAATAGACAGGCATTCAAAAACAAGGCTCTCCCTTCCTTCTCCTGCATTACCAGTACTGAAGTAAGCAGCTTCTTGCCTCAAACACCTTCAGACTTTGGAAACCTTCTAGCAGCCTTCTAGTTGTGTAATAAGCCAAAACAAAACTCTGGGATTTTCATAATTTGAGCGTTTGCATCCAAATTTGACTCTGGATTAAAGCTCTGCAGTACAAGCTCATCTCACAATTACTGAAGGATCTTATTATGGCTTCAGATATGCACAAACATACATCCTACTTAAGGGTATAGGAGTCCCAAGTGTGTATCCACAGCAAGGCTGACTGATTTTTATATTTTCATTGGTTTTTAAATTCCTTGTGTGAGTCTGGAAAGGAAACATATAATGAGAAAAATCACTATCTTCCCAGAAGGTACTCTGGGGTTACTGCAGTGGATTTGTTGTTCTGTAGTGTGTATGGACACATAGCATGGGGACTTGAGAGACGTAAGAATAACATGGAGCAGAGCTTGAGTGTGTGCTTCAGGATAGAGACACTGTCTCTCATATGGGCTTTGCATATCAAGCTTTACAGGAAGCAAAAAAAATCAAAACAATTCATGACAAAAGTGATAATAATAGCTGGGGAGAGCCAAGCAATCTTCAAAACTGTAGTGAAAACCAGGAGGTTTCTGATACGTGAGTTTGTTTTTCCATGCTGTCACCTTGACTTGAAGCTTAGATTTCCAGCAGGACTCTCCCTCTGTGTCACATCAATTACTAAGTGAGGAAAATAAATCCCAGCAGGCTTTTGAGTTTTTTGAGTCTTGTGTGACATGTTACTCTCGATATCCATTTTGAAGTCATGTCTCTGCTTGGCTAAGGTTTCTTAGTTTCTCCTAACACTCAGTGGCCCCCCTCTGCCATTGCTGAATAGCTGTATATATTAAAAAAACAAATTAGTAAGAGCTCTCCAAGAACACCCAGGTGCTGAGGAAGTTATATTTGTGACTCCAGAGGTGGCATGTTTTCCCCCTCAGATGATACCTGATCTGGTGTTATGGTATTGTATTAACTGAGCATTATCGTGCTCGGAAGAGCCACAGCTCAGATGAAACGTAAATCTGAGGTCCTGTCTGCTTGCAGTGAGCACTTTAACTAGGGGAAATTTGTGGGGAAGGCAGTAGGGATGACAAAGAATGGAGGAGAACAGGGATTTCTCTTACTGTAGTCTGCCCTTTACCAGGATTCATCAGGAAAATTTATTTCCTTTTTTACAGATGTCCCCAAAATAGTGCTCTTCACCCTCATAGATATAACCTGCCCTAAACATAAAATTTTGCTGTTTCTGTGTTATCTTCTCAGTTGTGGTTATGAGGCTGTAAATGGGACTGAGAGATGGAAGCCACTGGACCTCTCACTTCCCAGCACGTGCAAAGCATGATAGCTGTCTTACAATCTCTTGTGGCAATCAGAGTAACGAGGCCCTGGTACCCCTTGAGTCAGCTCATCACAGTAGCATTGCACAAGATCCTACCTCCATATCTTCAGAGATGTCCCAACTTGGCAGCTCAGCTCCTCAGTGCTAGGGAGGGCTTGCTTTTGCTAGAAATATTCTGCCTTGCAGAGCTGACAAAGATGTCACATACCTCCAGATATGTAAAAAACACACAAATCTTCTAAGATTTACTTCTGGGCAGCATTTATCAAACCAAGGAGAGAACTGGATCTTTGGATCCCTGCCGTTTTAAAGCTCTGAAGATTATTTCTGGGTACTGAAGTTTGACCTCTGCATTTCAAGTTGGAGCCTGTATTCCCTGGCTAAATCTAAACCAGTCTGTAGCGCAGCTGTGGTTTTCTTCCAGGGTCAGCAATGGCTTAAATCCATGCCCAGCTCCATAAATTGGAAATGGCAGAAGAAGATTCTAGGGTGGTGGCCTGAGAGGAAGATGAGTACATCAATCCCAGATAATTGCTGCTCTTTTTTAAAAAATTAGGATGTCTTGAACCTGTTTTCATGTATTAATATATTTCATGTATTAGGCTGGAGGTGAGGCTACATGATTAAAATGATTCCCTTCAGCTTTAAAAAAATCTATAAAGGGTTTGCAAAATTGGTTAGCTATGTTTGAAGAGCGCTTTGGAAATCTCAGGGGAAAAATATTGCAGCATAGAAAACCAGTTGTGTTTATTCAGAATATAATGAATGGATACTACAAATACTTTGCAGAATAAGCCCCAAAACCCCATGTTTGGGTAGCATTGCATATTCTATTTAAAATACATTTATTTTATTTTTTTTTTTCCATGTCATAATCATCTGGGTTGAATTACAGTAAAGTAGAGGAAAGAGATGAATAATGGCAATTAGCAAGCTGGTCATTTGTCCACCCCCAAACTCAAACCAGGATTAACTACAAACTTTCTAGCAATTGAAAACCTGTTTCATGACTCAGGTCATAATTGAGTATATTGGACAGAGCCAGATCAGATACTTGAGGAAAACTACTGGATATATTTTTCCACTTTGACCTTGATTACTACTAACTGCTTTGTGAGTATTAACAGGAGCATATTCAGTTTAATGTAGTCTTATCTACATCATGTTTCTTTAGATTGTTCACAAGCTCATACAAGACAATGTCAAAAATCTTACTAAAGTCCAGACATGATGTACAGATTTTTAGCCTACTATAAATGGATATTTAACTGGTTTGGCTTGATTTAGTTTTGCAAATTAATCTCAGATATATTTTGTAATTTTCTGTAATTTTACAAATTGAGGTACCAACATTTTAGGCTTAATTTTAATGAAAAAAGAATTTAAGATTCTAAGAGTTGTCCTGGGAATTGATGTTGAGCCAACTGATACAAAAGTGTCAAAGTCATCATTTTCCCCTTTTTTCAAAGATATGTACTGACTTTGAGCTAGTTGTCTGTTATCTCACCTATGTTTCAGGAGTTATTGGAGGTAATACTTAATAGCTGTTGTCTCACAATTTGTTACTCTTCAACTTTCTGGGAAGAACTGGACAAATTGTCTTGCTGATTAAAACTGTGTTTCTAAATTTCATTTCCTGGGGACCAAATCCAAAACTAATACCTATATAATAAAATAATAATAATAACAACAGATAACATTGCTGATGATTTCTTCTTTTCATGTTCTTTATACATTTTAGTAGATTATTATCCTATCACTGCTTGCTAAATAGAAAAGTAGTATCATCAAATAGTGATATGATTTGTTCATTCTCACAGGAAGAGAGATGAAGCCTAGAATAGGCTTTCAAAGTACCTGAGTCTTATGCCTGCATTTTTTCCCAAAATAGTTGTATTGAACTGTTTTATTTGAGACAAAAGTGCTCAGCATTAAGTTAATGGCCCCTGATGAAGTCAGCTGCATCATCAGCAATGCTGAGTGTATTCAGAGTCTTGACTCTTGATTTTGTTGGTTTTATACCTATATAACATGTACATACATATATACCATGTCAAAAAGTAGGATTTAACTGCGATCCATTTCCTACAGGCAAGATGATGCAACCACCTTGGTTTGTAGGTAAGGGAATATAATAATATGGGTATGACCAGAGTGTGCCAGTTAATCTCAGAGTCATAGAGTGTGCCCTGGTGGTGTTAAGGTTTTATAGATGTACCCTTAGTTTGGCAGAAGGTAAAGTGCATCCAGGTGTTCGCTATTGCAGAATATTAGGGAAATGTCATAGACTTTGAAATTCGGATTTGGCTAAGCAAAGGATGTTGTCCAAAACTGCATTGGACCTGGAGCATCAGATGAGCATCATCTGATCTGATCAAAGGACTCCTGGGATAGCTTATTCCTTCAATGCTACCCAGAGCTTTCACTTGCCTATTGTGGGCTGCCAGTAACTGATCAAGCAACTACTCAGCCTTTCAGGAATTTCCTGAAAAAAATGCATGAGCAAACTTTCTTCTGGTACAATGCAGTGTCAGGCCTTGAGATTGACAGGTACGAAGATATGTGCTAATGCTTATCAGATGCATATATGGAATTATAACAGAAAACTCTGGAGGTAAAGACATCCCAAGTCATTTAAAAGCAGCTCCTGGCTTCCTAGGATGCCAAGCATCTTTACAACAAACAAGGTATCTGATAACTTCTAATGCTTCAGAAGTCTGGATATGAGCTGAACCAACTGTTACTGCTCTGGTTTGTATTACCTCAAATCTCCATTTTCCAGTTCTCCTAAAGCAATATAAAAAAGCCCCAAATCAGTAATTTTGTTATGATTTGTTGTTGTTGTTTTTTTTGTTGTTATTGTTCTACTCCTCAGGATCTGTACTTTCATGCTAATATATCACTGTGCACTGTAAAAACATGGGACAGAAGGACTGAGCCTTCTGCAGAAAGCTTATCTGAAGATAAGAAGAGATAACAGATGGAGAAGGAGATGGGGAACAAAAAGAAGCAGTGGCACTGTGATGAGACGACTAAGTTCAGGTAGATGTGAACTGAATGAATGGAATTCAAGGTAGGTGGAAAAGTGACAGGACCACTGGTTTTATGGAACAATAGTCATCAGAAGGCAGTGTAATTGGTGACCAGTTGCTAGCAGTTTTCTTCAGGGGTCAATAGTGGGACTGATATTGTTGAACAGCATCATTTTTGACTTTGAAGATGGGACAGAGAGCACCGCAGCAAGCTCATGGATAACTTCAAATTAGGGAAAGTGACTGTTATAGTGGAAAGTAGGGATGCCACTCAGTAGGAACTTGACAGGCTGGACAACACATTGCATTTGAGTCAGTGATGTACCCTTCCAGAAAAGGTCCTTTCCAACCTACACTACTCTGTGATAATGGTTATCACAGTAGGCTGCTGCAGTCTGGAATCTTGTAAACTTTTTTTTTTTTTTTTTTTTCTCTTCATGGAATTAACCTAAGGAATGTTTGGATAAGGAATTTATTGTTTCATGAGAGTTTGGCTCTAAATATACTTCAAAGCTGAGGGATGAGAACATACTTTTTCCACATGGTCTCTTCATTGTGGAAATCCTGAAGAACAGCTCAACATAAATGAACTTCTGGTATAAAGGGATCTTGAGGACTTTGCTTGGTTGTTCCTGCACTGAGCCAAAACATTTGTGTTGGGAGTAATTTATCACTGGGAGTCATGGGCTTTTGGAAATGAGAAAGGAAAGGGGAATGACAGAGTCTGTTGGCAACAGAACAAAGTTTCTTAACAACAGTTCAGTGTTAAGATGAACCTGGAACCAAGTGCTGCTTATCCATCCTATTCCTGCTTGCAATAATTTTCCCTTGAAGGGAAGATAAATTGATTTTAATGATTTTGGTGATTTCTAAGGTATATGGATTTTAGTGACAGCAATAAAAGCAGTGCATAGTTGTGTTAAAAATGTTGCTGTTTGTGAAGGCAATATTTATTTTTTTTTTTTTTTTTTAAATACAGGTGAAGAATTTAACCTTTGTGAATGGAGTGACAGAACATGAAGATTATGACTACGGAGAGTGGAATTTTCAGTGGAAATCTCGCCTGAGATATAGTTTGAAGACCTGCCTACTGTTGATCAAGTAGCTTCTCATATTTCCCACCACGCTAGTCCCGACTGGCTGCAATCTTGCCCATTAACTCAGCGACTACTTTGCTGAAGGGGAAACAGAATGAAGGCAGAATTTCAAATGGTTTCAAGGTTCTGGTGACTTTTACAAACTGCACAGGCACCTGTTAGTGGTTAAAGGACGTGTTTATTTCTTGCAGTATTGGTTTGATTAAAACAGTTCCTCTTGCAAGTATGTAAAAGGTGTCTTTAAAACAGTGTCTGAACACCTGCAAGCCTAGAGCCAGTCAGGTTGTTTTCAGCCACCTTTTCTAAGTCTGTTTAGCAAAGCCAGGCTCTGTGTAAGTGTGTGTACTTGCAATGCTTATGGATGCATTAGTTAGGACACATATCACTACTTCTAAGTTGAGAGACCTTTATGGCCATGCTTTCTGGTGCTTAGAATAACGTCATACTTCTCCTCTTGGAAATGACTTGTGAAGAGGAGTTGCGGCAGCTGCGTGAACACCAAGGTCGGGAGGAACAGAGGAAGACAGGAGGGGGGAGGTGTGCCGGAACAGAGATTCCCCTGTGTCCTGTGGTGAGATGGTAGGGCGGCCCCCCCCTCCACCCATGAAGATCTATGGTGGAGCAGACACTGATTTATGGCCTGTGGTTTCCACCTGGTATAATCAAGGTGCTGTGCCCGAAGAAGGCCGGAGTCTTGTGGGAGAAGGTAGACCCTGCTGTTGTAATTCAGTGCTGGGAGGATTGCAGCATGCGGGGGGGTCCCATGCCGGAGCAGCTCGGGAAGGGCTGCAGCCGTGGGAGGGAATCCAGTTGGAGAAAATTGGTGCCCCACGACGGAGCAGTGTGGGGAACGCTGCGGCCCGTGGGAGGGACTCACATCGGAGAAAGGCTATGAAGGACTGTCTGCTGTGAGAGGGGGACCACAATGGAGCAGGGGGAAGAAGTTCCAGAAGCTCCCCTCACCAAAGATGGAAGAAGCGGCAGCACAGACTGCACCTCCCATTCCCTGCCCCTGCGCCACTGGGGGAGGAGGTAGAGATATCAGGAGCAGAGATGAGCCCAGGAAGAAGGGAGGGGTGGGGGGGAAGGTGTTCTCAAGATATAGTAATGCTTCTCACTGTCCTACTCTGTTACGTGTTGTTAGTGTCTGTAATAAATTTTTTTTTTTTTTTTTTCTTCCCCTAACAAGTCTGCCTTTTGCTTGTGACCATAAAGGGTGATTTTTACCCATCCCAGTCCTATCTGGAACCCCAGGCCTGGATCTCTGTCCTTTCTTATTGCCAGAAGAGAAGGGGGAGAGAGTGGCTGCGTGGTGTTAGGTTGCCAACAAGGCTCAAACCACGACAAAGTGCCTCCCGGCACTTTTTATACAGGTAACCTGTATAAAATTGAATCTGGAAAAGTATGAAACAAGCTGAGTGCATGATGCTTTCTCAGGTGCTGATGACCCTTTTGATGTAGAAATCTCCTGTTCTGCCTTCATCAACTGCATAACCCCTCTAGGTACTGGACTGCTCAACATTATTCTTTATCCTGGAACAACTTAAAAGGCTGGTCTTTATAAATCTTTGATGTAAGGCCAAAGCTGGTACTGAAACATGCTATGGTGTTGCTAATTATGTCCACAATTTGGCCCATTAAAGTATTCTGTGATTTAATGTCACATTAAGCTACTGTCTTATAGGATTTTTTGGTGTCACTTTCCATGATGGTTTTAGGAATGAGATGTTTACATTGCTGTTGTGTGCAACATTTTGAGGTGCTATGGATGATTTTTAGTATATCAATTAATAATGCATTACAAATGGGATAATAAATACATGTTAGTTCTGTGATCCATGAAAAAAATGTGTCTGGACCAGAAATCTTTGAAAGGATTTAACCCAGATTCTTGGTTACGGCTGTCTTGGTTGCAGCAAGACCATTGAGTGCAGTGATAAGCAGAAGTACCAGGTAGGGCAAAACATCATGGGAATGTCCATGTGTAATACCAAATCTCCTCAAAGATATCAACAAGAGCTAGAAACTTAAACAGTATCAGGCAGGTCTTGATTAAGTGCTCAGTACACCGCTTCACACTCAGATTTGTGTCCAAAACATCAAACAAAAAAATTTTTCAGCTTATCACACTAAGACATCTTTCCAACTCTTTCTAGCACAAAAGAAACCTAACAATTTCAGCAGTTAAGCCAAAATGATCAGCTGCAGCACTCTTTGCTGTTGAAACCTCCTGCTCCTCTCAACATGTCCTCCCTGCTTGTATAAAATCCTATGTCCAAGGGCTGACTGGAAACATATGGCACAATCCCATGTACATATGAATTTAACACTAGAATAAAGATCACAAACAAAGCTAGGCTGACTGTCTTATCCATTTGCATACCTTTCACTTAGAAACTTGCTGAAAGCTTCCCTGAAATTTCTGTCAGAACAGAGATGATGCTTGGAGCTGTATAAATGCATAGAAAGAGAGACACTCTGACCCAAAGGTCTGCTATTGTAAAGTAACCCGACAGATGGAAAAAGAAGGTGAATCCAGAGCCCCTCTTATTTTACCTTATTCAGGCTACCAACTGCTCACTGTGTCCCTGTACTTTCCCTGTCAGTCCCTCTGTCTCTCATTGTGTGTTATTTGGGGCAAGGACTATTTTTCTGTTCAGTATTTGCAGAACTCTTGTAACATCTTTCTGATTTGGGTGTGAGGCTGCTAAGAGCAGTGACAATACTACCAATAGTAATAATTATCCTATTTTCTAATTTTGTGCTTTAACCTTGAAGTCATCTTTCTGGGCTCAGCTCATGTTTGTGGGAGCTCAGTTATTTAAAAAAAAAAATAATTCCAGACAAATTGTCTTTTTTCCTATTTGCTTCACACAGACAAGGATTAGTTCACAAGTCACTTGGTCAGACGACCTGCTTCACCAGTTCCAAGCAGAAACCAAGACCCAATGAACATATTATTGGGCCAAACAGTATTCCCACTGTGAATTCACAGTGATGGGTAAGCTAGAAATTTTTTCATTCTTGTACTGAAAACCTGAGGGTGGCCGTAGAAATCACCATAATTTTCAGCAGATTCCAGTGCCTCCAACATCTGCAGAGAAACTCATTTGGCCAAACTGCAAAAAGGAAAAGGGTGTGGGGAAAGGAAATAATAATTGCTACAGCTATCAATGTCCCTGCCATTTGCATGATGGAGCCACTCCAAATAACTTTGCCTCTTTTGGAAGTTGGTGCTTACTCCAGTTGCTTTGTACTGCTCTAACGGCTCCAATAAATTCACTGCTATTCCTATGGCTCAGGGTGGTTGTCATCTGAGTTTATGAATGTGAGATTTGTTTGGCTCTCCCCCCCACAAGTGATTGGGGTTAGAAAGTGCGATTATATTTGGGCAGAGGGAGAGAGATGCTGCGAGAAGGCAAACTGAACAGACATTGTGAATATTTATTTTTTTTTTTTTAGATGGAAGGCAGTTGTATTTATGTGCAGATGTAAAACAGAAAAGATATTGGGTTCTGGTGCAGGAATTATATACTAACTCCAAAAAAATGTATACAGTGAGAGCTTATAATAGAAACTTATTCCAGCAGAATCATTTTTTTCAACAAACATGTAGATTGGCATGTGGAGCATGCTGTGCTGAAGAGATCGAAGCTTGATTGTGGTTTCATATCTGGCATTCCTGAGTGAACGGAGAACTGTGGTCCTTATTCATAGTATTTCGGGCTGGGGGTAGGAGAGGGGACGCTGCCATGCAGAATGGCTCTTGGTTTTGCAGGGGATGGGAAGTCAAAGAAGCAAGTTCCGCTGTCCTTCATTTTAACCCTTCTGCTCTCCATGGGTCTTGTGGATGTGGCAGCATTGAGGTAAAATGTCAAAAGGAAGTAGATTTTTTTCCTTCTAAATCATATCAAATCAATTAATTTGCTAAAGCAGGCTTAACAAATGTAATTCATTATGATAACACATGAGCAGGCTCTTCTTTTTCCATGGGCTGCTTGGGCTTCACATGAGGTAATCAGGAATGCAATTTGGTTATCCATGTTGGAGTAGAGCATAGTGTTACATGCCTGGAGATTTCAGGAGAACGAGGTATTATCAGCTTTGTCTTTTCAGTATTTACAAGACTGAGACATTATGAAAGAGGTGGCATTTCCAATTTGTATTAAAAAAATCTATCATGCCAACACACTTCTGTAAAGGATCTCTTGTGGTAAAACACATGATCTGTCAGCTGCTGAAGAGCCATGAAGACGTCATCTAAGCCAAACTGGCATCACTACAAATATAAAAATTTATATGGTTATGTTATACATTATCTTTTTTTTCTGAGTCAAGGAGAGAGGGTTGTCATGTCATGAAGTTCATCAAGATGAAGAGTTGGAGACATATTAGTGAGATGTCATGTATGATAACTCTCTAAACAGACTCTGTCAGGAGTCCTACTGGAGGAACTGAGTTTTAAGACTAGTTCAGAGCTCTTCAATACTTCAGTGGACCTAAGTTCTCATATCTCTGAAACTTTCCACTCTTAATTTCTAAGGAACTGACGTTGAACATGACAAGTTTTTAATATTTTGCCCATTCAAATGGAGTTTGAGATGTATTAAGCCTCTACCTTTTATTAAGGCTTAATTAAGGCTTTAAATAACTTAAAAAATCTCTTGCATTGAAAGTACACGTCCCTGATCTCATCCCATTTTAGCATTTTTACAGAACAAAATAGCTGGGGATCTTAGACTGGTGTGAATTAATAATCTTTGTTTTCTTATCCTTTCAGTGACCAGATCTCAACCTTGCTCCTATACCTCATAGAAGCAATAGGAAAACCTCAGTGGGATGTGATTCAGAAGTGTATGCAAAAAAATGACATTTGTTTTCCTTCTTCCTACTGGATTCACTGAGTGATGTGTTGCTGAGGAAAAGCTGGCCAGCATTTCAAGCAAGGGACCTGGGGTATGTGCACTGCAGGACACCTGGGGAGGCATTCGGAAGCTGAAGGAACCCAGGGCAGAAAGGCCTAAAGCAGAACTGATGAAGTTGATGTAGTCCAGTGATTTTCAGACAAGCAAAGATACATTTTCTCCTGTAATAGATGGTGCCATCTTCAGTTCTACTTTGCATTCCAGAATTTAGGAAAAACATGGGGTTTTTTCAAACTTTAGATTTGGATAAAAAGTTGATATGTCTGACAGAAAGAAGTTAAGTATTTCCTCATCAATGAGATTCATATAATCCAACTCCTATGTTGTCGCTCTGTTCATCTAACCTAGTCACACTAGGCTCACTTTATAAAGAGTGAAAAGGAATGGGTATGTCTAGGAAGAGATTTCTGGTTTAGACATTACCTTAGGCTGAGAGGACCAGTGCCCTGGAGGAATCCCTCCTTTCCCATGGCCTACCAAAGGAGGCAGCCAGCACCTGTGTTGCAGGATTTAAGGAATCCTGTCCTTTCTGTCAGGAAGAGTCGCAATCCCTTCATAAAATTATTATCCTTCCTCTTAAAACCAACAAGATATTTTGCTA